CTGATCATAATTCACCTCAAAAGATCTCTCTAAAAGCCACAACAGACCATGGATTTTCTGCTAATATTGAAACTCAATCTAAGGTCTTTGCTCCGGGTGCAGGAGGCTTCACTTTTATGCTAAATATTCCTTTGAACTCTGTGGCATTCAATAAGGCGTCTAGGATGGTACAAAGCTAAAAAAGGATGTGTCCTGTTTTACTCTAAACATTACAAAAATCTTAGTAAATTAATTGAAATAGTGATTTAAAAAAAAAAAACAAAAAAAAAAACAGTTATATTTTACCATTCTTGAATGACAGGCTGCACGGCTCACCTGAATAAAGTCAATTTCTTCCAGGGTTAACGGTCTCCTGCGGTACCTGGCAGGCAGTTGCTGAAAGGAGGCCAGTGTGTCTGGCGTTCCTGGGACAGGACTTAAAGGTACTTGAGGTCTGGACGGTGCAGGCGATGCAGAAGCCGAAGGCGAACTCAGAGCACTGTGTTCTGGAACATTAAGACCTATCAATTTCAAAGCCTCTTGGACTGAAACAAAAAAGGGTAAAAGACAAAGAAGATACAGAGGAAATTGTTTTATTTTTAGTATTTTGAACTAGAATAGTTTAAAAATATATCTTAACATGAAGAACTATCATAAAATATGGAATCACAGACAACAAAGAGCGTTTCAAGAGAAAATTCTCTTTTATCAAGTAAAGCATGTGAGGCAACATTATGGGTATTGGGTTAGCCTTTTTTTTTTTAAATCAGATAAGTCAAGTAATTAATAAGAGACAAAATCCTTAAAGTTGGACATACAGTTACTACATGTCCACAGAAGAAGTAACCTCTTTTCAATAAACTTGAAAGCTGGTTCTACATTACGTCTGCTACTAGTTAAAGCTAGAGCTATTTAATTAACCTGAAATCTTACAAGCAAAGTTATTTTGAATGCATTATAAGTCTATTGTTAATGGATTCAAATAGAGGTTGGTGAGCATCTTCTGCACCACAAACTTCAAATCTAAACACAAAAAGGAAAAAAAAAGCTTTGGTTGTAATCTCTTCCAGGCTGAAGATGATTTTTAAAAGAAAACCATATTTCTTACACATTTTTCAACCCTAAACCTGCAAACATTTTCTTTGGATAAATATAAAAAAAAAGCTCATGCTATAATATCGAAAACAGTTAGAGTGGTTGCTTCTGCTTCCCACCAAAGCAGTTTCTGCACAAACTGAAAAAAAATTAATCTGATTTCTCACGGTTTTCATATTTATTTCACATCAGAAAAGACCCTTTTCTTCTGCAAATACTCTCTTGGTCCCATTAATCTCCGCTCAAAGTTGGTTCTGTCTTTAGATTTTATTTCACCAAAAGACTCACCATTGGGCCTTGGCATGTCCTGTCTTTTAGGGAATTTGATCAAAGGAGCATGCGGCCGTACAGCCTGAAAGAAAACACCCACAAGAAGAAGAAAAAAACATTAATTCAACCTCTTAAAGAAATTCACACAAAGGTTAAAAAGGCAAGGTCTCCTAATGCCTTAGCTCACCTGTACAACAAAAACAGGAAATAAACATATTTCTTAAACTTTGCATGCTAAATTTCATGCATAACACAAATTATTTACTCCAATAAATGAAAACAATTTGAATACTAATGGCTAAAAGCCATTGCTTTATTTCTTCATTCTAACATTTCTGAGAGGCCAGAGAAGGTTACAAATACAGCCAGCAAACATATTCATGTCCAAATATCATACTTCTATAGACTGACATCTACAAAATGTCAGCCTTTACAAATCATCGTTTAAGTATACATACAACAGTTACCAATAAATTTATGAGATATGGTATTTCCACAGCAAAAAGGCCCTTTCAACTCTTCAAGGATAAGCAGGATTAGACAACAGTGGGATGTACAGAAGTAGAGATGGATAGATGGAAGGCTTGATCCAAAAATGGCTCAATGGATAAAGCATTAGATGAATAAGTATAACATTTACACAAGGCTTTAAGGAATGAAATATGGGAATATAGAGCCTTTTCAATATACATACTTTCCATTCTTATATAGATCAAGCTTTTATTTAAATTCCCTGGTCATATCAAGGATTTCAGACTGTTTAAAGCCTCTAATTAGTTCATAGCTATATGTTTGAGTTCTTGTGAAACATATTTACTGATACTAAACAAATAAAATTAAACAAGAAATGCACTGATTAAAAGGTAATTTCCCCCTGAAAGCTTTTGAGCAGTGACTGGATGGTTAAATACTGACAGATCCAACTTCCTGAGTTAAGAATTCCTACTAATGAAAAGGACTATAAACACATCAATCAGTGAAAATCAAGTTACGGTTAAGGGTAAATATGTTGAGCCATTATTTGGGTAAATTATTATCATATTGGACAAAAAATGTTTTTTTTTTTTTTTTTATAAGAATAAAGACTGAATAGTCAATCTGTAAAGTATCTACTAATTAGTTCTCATTAATACCTGATATAAACTTGGATAGCCGGATAATCCAACAGATTATATATTCCACATTTTAAAACGGTAGGCGTTAAACAGTTACCAGTATTAATTATTATATAAGCAAATAACTAGTGGCAAATTTCAACTTAATGAGTAGAAAGCTAGTGTTGTAGTACAGCAAATATGTGACACGACTCCGAGCTTTTCTATTTAACAAGGACATTAACAAGGGTACCAATGGTAATACAGCCATAAGCCCCCCATTTATTGAGTAACATTTATTCCAAATATATTTTTCTCATTTTAAACATCTACTAAAACAGCACGAACAAAACAAAAGGCAGAATGAGAAACATTTCTATAGCGACTTTACCTGAATTACTCTGGCGGTGGGAGCTGCCATTTTGGAGCTGACTTTGCCTCCCATGGCGACCTCAGGGTTTACTTCCGGGTCTAAAACCTATCCTGCAAGAGCGAAAGATGGCCACAAGAGGGTGCTGTATTAATAAAACAGATAATAATGCAGTTTCTGGAATAAAACGAGTGGTCTAACGGTTTAATGTTATAAGCGAAGACAAGAGCGATAAAGGAAGATTAGTGATTTGGAATGGCTGCTTAGCTCATTCAGATATCTCCATCATCTTAGCATGTAACTCCTGTATTTTAAGTAGAAAACAGGAATGAATGGACAGGTCAATCCCATAGATTGTTACATTTTGTACCTTTTAAATGGCCACCAAAAACAGATTTGTTATCAGTTGTCTTGCTAGCCAGATACCCAGTCCATAATGCTAAATCCTTCAGTAAAAAAGATAAATAAAAATACGCATAGTCCGATCTTCCTTTAAAAATGTGATAGAAAAAAAAACAATATATAAAAAGGAAAAATCAAAAAATGGTGTGAAATTCTATAAGCAGTTAAACTTATAATTCATTCCGATGATATTTTTATGTAAAAGAAAGAGATTTTTTCTAGACAAGGCGAAAAATGATTCTGGAAAATGAAAAGGCTTCCCAAGTCACATGACTTAAAACCAGCCTATCATAAACAAGAACCGCAGAAGAGATCGTGTATAGTTCAAGATGCATCACATTTTTAATATTTAGATTTAAACAAGCTGAATGTTACAGGGAACTTTGAAACGGCCCTCCTGGTAGATTTTGGTCATTTTGGTCGTTATATGACATACAACAAATATATATATATATATATATATATATATATATATATATATATATATATATATATATATATATATATATAATATTTTGTATTGTATTAAATAAGAAAAAAATAGCAGTGGTCAAAGATAACCTGTTTAATTAAAGAATTGCAGAATTAAACGACTATTTTGTTTATGGAAATCAGGAGCTATTCTCTTTTGAAAACCGTTATTTTTCTGTTACCAAATTTATCTTTGCATAATGATAAAAATAAAAAAAACGTTTGATAATCCAAAAACTGCAAGTGTGACAATAAAGCAAAAATGAAAAGAAAAAACAACAAAAAAGAAACGAAAAAAATATATATATATGGAATTGACAGTGATTAAATCATATTTAAAGTGTCTATAAACCTAAATGTTTAAGTATTTAAGCATGACCCAAATACCCAGAATAACAGTAGGGTAAATTAACTAGGGTTTAGTGGCAAGTCCCCAATATATCCACATAACATTTACCACTCACCAGACACATCGGTCCAAATTATGTGAGTTATACAGTATTTACTCTAGTATCCGAACAAACCTGAAATCAAACCTCATAGATAATTTACAATCCAATCATATAGTCAGATTTAGATAACACAACACACTTTCCGGTTTAGTAAAAAAAAAAAAATAATAATAATAATGATAATAAAATGCTTTACATTTCTGCTTAGTGAAGAATTGGATTTATTTTCTGCTGCAGGACAAATTCTGGAATCTCTTTACCTCAGACTCTAAGGCTCAGTAGATTCTGATCAAGTGGATGCAGATGATTTAACTTTTTGTTCTATCTGAACAATTGGAGGTTGCTTTACTATATGAGCAAAAGGGTATTTGAGAACTAAGGTTTTAGATTATTTTTGTTGTGGTTGAAATCCCTTTTAATGCAGCCATCTGTAAAAGTAAACACCTTAAAAATCTTAGGCAATAGAAAGATCAACCCTAATCTGATGCATGTACAGTACAGATAGATACAGTTTTCACATTCCAAATGGGAAGTATTTATGAGACATTTTCACTCTTTAACTGACTGGAATATGTGTCAAGAAATTGCTGCTAGAACACAGGCTAGCAGGAGCAAAATGAAGGTATTCCTTTTTTTACATCCCTTAGAGAGAACACAAACATTTCTTTTTATTATCCTGGAGTCTGTATTGACCTAAGACAATGCTCTGTAGAAGAATTTGTAAAAAAAAAAAAATCTGTGGTATGAGTGCTCATCCTTTATCCTATCCCTATCTGTTAACTGACCTTTCCTGCATATTGTTTGGACTCTGGTATTTCAATTTCTATGTCCACATTGTTCCAAATCTGAAAAAAAAACAGAGTCTTCAACCAATTAGTGTTTTCTTAGCTATTTTATTCAACAGTTGCAGGATAATGAAAAACAAATAGGTCCCTTTTTCAACACAAAAGAATATCCAAATCAGTCTTCCTAGAAACAGATCAACAGAGCAGTGCAGTCTCAAGTTAGAAAGTGCTACTTGAATTATATAGAAAAGTCCAACAGGCTTCAGCATCTGCTTGACTGTCTTCAGCTTGCAGGTGGGACACACTCATTTTTTCTTTGACATTTCAAACAACTGTTTGAGTTGGTCCTTAGAGGTGGCCTCTTTCTGCTGCATGAGTTCAGCATGGCCCCTGGTATAACCCCAACCATCTGGGGTTGACATGGATGCAGAATGGGGACGGCCAGTGGCTGGCTTCAGGTTCTCCCAGTAATCACGGCGGGCTCTGGAACACACAGAGGTAATCAGCTGGGTCTCACTGGTGCTTAGAAGCTACAATGTGGGCATAGCATACAAATAAAAGACAAACAGTTGCTTCTAACCTGGCTCTGACCCAGGGTTTGGTGTGCATCTCCAGAGCACTACCCCACAATCCATGTTTCTCTGATGCAGCAGGGAGGAAGCCCCTCTCTTGGGCCAGCTCCTCTGCTACAGCCCTGATGTGATAAGGTTCAAATCCACAGCAGCCTCCAATGAAGCGGATGCCAGCATTGTAGGCCTCTCTGGCGTACTTGTGCATGTCCCAGCGAGTCAGAGCCCTGGGCTCTAAAGCTGAAAGTACAAAGGGTTACATGTTTTAAAAAAAAAAGTAGAAAAATACCGTGCTGTTGATGCAGCACACCATTGGGGAAATGGTGAGAGGGGATTGGAAATAATATGTTGCATATTTGATATGAATAATAAACATGGCACCTAAAACTAATAATTTACATGCAGTATAGAGCCTTATTACCGTAGGGGAACTCTGGCAGATCAATGAATCCCCGACAGTCACAGTCAGGAGTGTGCAGAGCCAGCGGCTGCACCATGTAGTGCGCCTTCAGCCCAGCCTTCTCCACACCCTCCTTCATCATTTTTACAGTCTTCACACAGGTCATGGGGTCAAAGTGGCAGTTGACTCCCACAATCTGGGCACCTAAGCAACAAACAGGAGAGACAAACCCTTCTACTAAACAGCTGCACAACAATGCTATGAACTGGTCACAAGATATTGAGCAAAAACCAAAATAATTCAGGTTTTTAATATATTTTAATACAAAATGTTTCTAAGGAACAAAATGTGTTATAACATTGCACCATTTATATTTTTGTAATAAAATGTATTAAGGATTTGAAAACATTTAAACTTTTTAACAAACCCCATGCAAAAATAAAAAAAAAAAGATTTCCAAGAAATACAAAGAAAGCCATTTAATTAAATCTTTTTTTTTTGTTTCCATATATCTGACACTTCTTAATTCTCATGGTCTGACTTAAACTTGATAACAGTTTTCTTCTTTTTTTGACAGGTAGGATTGTCCTTATTCCTGCCACCAGAAAGAAAGATAACATTTATTTTATTGTTTTACTCTACCAAGTTTAAAATCTATAACTTTGCAAAAACCTTTTTGGCTTTCGTACACAAGGTTCTCATAATAGTTTGCTGTAAATATGGCTCATTCCTTCTCACAGAACAGGTTCCAGAATGTATGTTGCATGTCTTGACTTGCTTGAATATTTTCACCTAATACTCTTAACTAATGAGGATTCCTGTTTTATGAAGTTGATCATATCTCTCCTAGATAAAAATGATTAACTACTTGATGCTGCAGTAAAATAAAACGTATTTCTTGAACACATAACTTTTTAAAAAGTATGGTGGCTGGACATTCCTTAATGAACAGATAAATGTGAGCATTAATACATTTGGACAATGTATCTGAGAATAAACAGGCTTGCAAATGTCCACAGTTCTTAACACATTTTGGTTTATTTATTTGGATTTTTCTATTAAATCAGGCAATGGACCACTCCTTTATTAACGACATATTGTCTGTAGATTTAAAAGTTTGACTTTTAAAAAGTAAAGAAAATAAAACATCTTTCCTTTTCCATTATTTAGCAAACATATATTTGTTGTAACCCTTACTAACCTGAAAATGCAAAAAGTTTGGTTTTATTTGTTGTCAGATATAATTAAAAGTATTATGCCTTTTTATACAGTGTCTATATATAAATGGTTTAACAGCATTTTTTAAAAAGATGCAACTGTAAGCTTTTCTGCATTTGGTTTTTTCATTTAAGACATCTGTTTTTATTTTTTATTTTTTTTTTTTACAAAATGCACTGCTGTTTTTGGTTTAAATAGGATTATCTACTGTAGGAATAAGGAGTCAAGCTATATGTAAGCATAAAACCCAATGATTAATTTAGGGTACTATAAAGACTCTTTACATACCGGCTTTGACAAGCTTGACGGCACAGTCTCCAGGTGAGACACCGTGCATGTCTCCCTCAGGTCCAATGCAAAGGCTGGCAGCCACAGGCTTCCCCGCCTCCTTTAGAACTTCTACAGCCCACACAGCCTCTTCAACATGCTCAAAGTACTGCAGGACAAAGCTCTCAATTAAACCAAATTCATCAACTTTAATCCAGAAAGTTCTGTTCCAACATCTGAAGATTATACTGGAGATAGATTTTGTACCCATTATGTTTATACATTATCATGTATACTGTTTCATCTTTACCTCTACGATGAGGAAGTCAACATTCTTCTTAGTGAACACATCCAGCTGTTTCTTGAAGATGGCTTTCACCTCCTTATCACTCTTGCAGCTCAGGTAGGATGGAGTCTGGGACACTCCCCCTGCAACCAGAGCATCTCCCTCATCCGCAACCTCCCGGGCCAGATCACAGGCGGCTTCGTTGATCTGAGTTCCCTGCAAACAATGACAGATTATGATTAATATAGATATGCATATTTATGAAGTTGTGTAAACTCATTCTCTATACTTTCAAAGCCATCCATAACCTTGCTCCTCCCTATCTGTCAGACCTCCTTCACATTGTCACCTCCTCTCGCTCCCTTAGATCCTCCTCCTCCATCCACCTCACTGTACCCCCAGCTCGACTTGTCACCATGAGCAGAGCGGCTGAAGGCTCTGCTCCCCAGCTCTGAAACTCACTTCCTCCCGACCTCCGCAGTATTGACTCTCTCCCCTTATTCAAAGCCAGACTCAAAACCCATCTGTTCCAGCCCGCTTATCTGTGATTACACTGCACTTTTTCCTATCCATAATTGTTTTTATGTTCCTCTGGGTTTACATACAGTAAAGGTCAACTTGTTGCCTCTATTCTCCAACTTATCATCACTGCAATAGAAGGTGAAGGTCTGCATGACGTTTGATCCAGCCCGTAGAAACTCCCTGTGCAGCTGACGCACTGGAAGTAAAGCACAGATCATGCATGAAAACATAGAAATGATTAATTTCATAAAACTGGAAAGGTTTAGTTTTTCTTATTCTTCAGGAGTTAAGGTTGTGGTATTGAGCCTTTTTGATTTTTTTTATTATATCTTATTTCTGTATTTACTTTAAAATTCAAGAAGGATGCAACATTTCAGAGGGAATACCTTTATTTGGTGTGGAGTTTATTATTCAAGACACAAAAATTACTTTCTAACTGAACTGCAGTATAGAGGGAGCATATAAAGAATGTTCTTACCAGCTTCTGGGTGCTCTGCAGCAGCCTCCGGGGTCCAAGGACCAGCCTTCACATACCCTCTTTTCTCCAGTGCTACCACAAACCCTCCATCACCAATGACAATCTCTCCAGCATTAAGTCGTTCCAAGATACCCTGCAACGTTTTATCAGTAAGCTCAGTAATTTGAAGGAGTGTAAATTTTATTAGTCAACCTGCAAATACCACAGCTGAGAAATACAATAAAACAAACTGCAGCTTTTATTCCAGTATATTTTAAAGGTGCATTTACTGTATTTAATATTTATTAGCTTCTGCATGAGTGTCTTAAAATCCTGAGATCCATTCTACTTTGTTGCAGTCAGAATGAGTCATCAAAACAGCTGCTTGTAGGACTGATAAGCATGCAGCCTTTGATACTAGCGCGCTTATCTAAAGGTAAAAGTTAAACTTTATCACCATCTGGATTCTGCAAATGACACCTGCATCCAAGTAGTTCAAGAAATGCAAACTACAGAGCAAAAAAAAAAAGCCTTTCTTTGCCAAAATCACTTTCTTCAGTCTTAATATACAATCATATATTTTTGTTGTGCACACTCAAGACATAAATCCTCATCCCAATTACAGGACTTAATTATTGAAACCCACCAATAATGGGGAAATTATTCCCTACTAATTGTATCACTCCTGCTTAGGGAGCAGTAATATGCCTTGTTATCTTGCAAAAACATTTAAAATAAACACATTTGACACATAATTTATTTAAACTTTTCAAACAGCTTGAAAATGTAAAAAGAAAATATATATTAAGGCCTATATATAATTTGAACTAATGTCCAAAACCAACATTTGGAGATAGAATATTTAATACAGCCTGTTAGTCTTTTATTTCTAAAGCAATATATGGCATTTTAACACAGTCAGAGAATTATGATTGGCATACCAGTTGCACAGCAGATATACTATAACAATCCAGATTCCACTTATTGTTAAAGAGGAAAATATATATGCAAGTAAAATGCCAAGTGTAGTTTTGCTTAGTCAGTCCTGAGACAAGATTAATACTCTTTATTTAGAAACCTTGGCTCCTCCATCTAAATACAGGCTTAATAAAAGTAAGTATCAAGTCTCGTTTCAGCAGAATACTTTTCTAGAGAGTATTCCTGTCTTTCAAACGTACCTTCTTTGTCGGTGCCATTATCCTGCAGCTGTGTGGACCCCTGACTGCTCAGACTTTGAGAAGCTGAAGTGACACTGAATGGGTGCAGAGGGCCTCATTAAATGCCCTAGAGGCAGGGGAGGGATCTGTGTGAGAGTTACTCTGATTGGTAAAAGCAAAGTTACACAACACCTCCAATACTTAACTGAATGAGAGTATTGTGAGTGCATTTCTGCTGCTAGTTTGGTCCGGATTAATTACGGTTCTCATTGCTTTCTGTACACCTGGTTTGTTGTTTTCTGTTTTCTTTTTTTTTTCTTTTTTTTTTACACATGCAGGGCTTCTGGTAAACATTCATAGCTTTAAGGTGTTTCATATTTTTTCCTATTTCTTACAAAAATATGAATGTTCTTTATTGAGATTCAATGCAATAGAAAAATCAATGACTAACAGAGAAGAACCAAAACTGAAATGAATACAGTACAAATCTGATAATCCGCATATATTTGCGGAGCCTCAGAAAGCCAATACTTTATAGATCCACCTCTCATTGGTTTATGTTATCGGAAGCAGTTTTCTCTCCCATTCTTCTTTGCAAAATAGCTTCACTTCACTCATATTTGATCAAGGCCATGAAATCTGCAGTAAACACTGTTTGATTTTTGTCTGAACTTTACCAGGGTCGTTATACTTTGACTTAACCCCCTCTTTTGTAAGTCTGGTTTTGCTAAGGCTTTTTGTTCCACTGGGAGGCAGTCTCTGCTTTGCAAAGTTTCCTCTATATATTGCTCTGAGTTCTATTTACAGTGGTGGACGAAGAACTCAGCAGTAGTACTTGAGTAAAAGTATTGATACTCATATTCAAATCTTACTTAACTAACAGTAACAGTTACTCAGTTAAACATCTATACAAGTTAAAGTATTAAAGTATTAACTTTAGAAAATACTTAAGTATTCAAGAGCACATGCATTTAAAATTACTAAGTATTCAAAATTGCAAATCAAAATTTTTTAACATTTCTATATTTCTGTATGATTTTTAGAGTAATTTCAAAAAACCACGTGACTTTCAGAAACCACCTGATGTATTAATGCGTTGAACCACCTACTACCAGTTCTACACCAGCTGTAAAGAACTACATCATAAAATTGTCACATAAAAATAAGGGCAGTTATTTTGCTTATTTCTATTGAAAAAAAGAAAAAAGTGTCTTAATCCTCCTTACACTTTTACAATGGATTAGTTTAAAGAGGTTTAAGGTTGAGTCTATTACAACAAAGAAACTACAACTCTCATCTGAGAATGGATCCTACTGAACAACTTGGCCACATGGCAACAACTAACGCCTTAATAAAATTATAAACAACAAATAATATCTGCCCTGAGTATCTCACATTTGTGTAATTTAATACAAATCTCAAAAACAGTGGTGTCAAAATGCAGTCCTAAGTTCTGTTATCTTGCATGTTAAAAAAAATTTATTTTAAGAAAGAAAAACAGCAAAAGCGAATACAAAGCTTAGCTGAGCCAAATGAACAAATAACTAGAAGCTTCCTCGAAAATGTAGTTGGGTAGAAAGAACAATAATTGACTAAGAAATGTAGTGGAGTAAAAATTATAAGTACTCCCCAAAAAAATTAATCAAGTAAAGAAATTAAAAGTACTTAAAGCTACAGTGTGTAATTTTCAGCAACATCTAGCATCCAGACTGCAGACTGCAGCAACATGAACATCTCCCCCCCACCGCTTCTCCCCCCCCAACAGTACAGCGAGCGTCACCTACCTTCTCAAGTGATGAGGTTTGTTTACATAGATAATTTTAAAGATAGTATTTCATTA